CACATATATAGCGGGTGGATATAGCTCGCTAGCAGCCTCGCACCGAGGACCTATCCACGTCATCATTTACCCAGAATGCTTTGTGTGGAAATAAAATGGCTCCGTCTGTGTTAAAATATATTTTTAAAAATTATAAAAACTAAACAGCCTACAGAATTTTTACAGTCTTTATTTTACAGTTAAAATAAATGTTTATCAAATAAAGTCTAATGTTACAACTAATCAGGGATCCCTTTAAATGTTTTAATTATTTTAAAAATAAAACTTAAGAGATACATTCAGATTGTAAATAAACAAAAAAATCATAGTAAAAAGAGTTCAGGTTTTATAAAAGAATCTCCAAACATTTTTGATAAATTACGATTTTAAACAATAAACGGTGAACTCTTTCAACAGAATTTCTCATGTCAGAGGACGGAGGACAGAACATTGTCATCAGTGATGCATTCATCAAAGGTAGGAACTAAGATCTTCCTCATTGCTTCGACCACAGTAAATGCATGAATAGTTCCACAAACCCTCCTCTTCCTGTCCTGCTGCTCCTTCCTGCCTCAGAGTCTTTGTTTAACCGCCGTGTGGAAGAGAAGGCGAAGGAAATGCTGTTCACGCCACTGGGATGGCACCACAGCTCGCTGGAGCAGCTCAGAGAGGAGAATGGGGAGAAGAAAGCAATGGAGAGGCTGCTGTGAGTTCATTTCACCACAAAGACCTCGTGTTTCTCTTCTGACCTTTATCAGAAAATGAATCTTTATTCAACAAGTTGTCTTTAACACATAATTCTGAAAATAGATTGATTTTTATATTCCTGGGATGTTTCCATTTTCTGTCCCTTTTTTTGTAATTTTAAAACAGCAGAATATTTGATCTTATTTAAATTCTTATTATAAGGGATGTTTCTGTTAACTCTGTGTGTCCAATCATTTACTTTATCTGTATACAAAAGGGCTGCATATTTTAAAAGTTTACTCACAGTAGCTGCGTTTCCATTGACCATGAAAATGAGCAAATTAGAATTTTGAAAATAAATTTGCTCAGTGGAAACACGTCAATTTCGAAAAAACTTCATTTTTTCGACAAAAGATTTTTGCGCTAGGATGAGGTGGTTTTTCGGCCGTATCGAAATTAGTGTGTTTCGCAAAACTGCAATGGAAACTGTTTTTTCGCATCACCGGAGTCACGTAATCAACAACCGGCTGTTTCTACTGGCAAAAAGACTAAGAAGAAGATAACAGGAAGTAGAAATAGTAGTATTATCACCAAAGTAGTATAAAATAGTAAACTCAGCGACTACAATTTCCCAAAAACACAGCATACGTAGCCGCTCCCAAGTAGGGACTTGTCTCTGGAAAGCCTCGATAAAAGACGCCGACGTCTCCTCTGATGATGAGCGCTAGTGTCGTGGTAGCAACATGCTATGTGTTTACATCCHWVYCTGCCATGTTTGTAATGACTTATCATGAGAACAAACGTATTCACGTGACTTTAATAACATTTCTTACTTAATGGAAACACTGCAGTTGCGAAACTGTGTTTTTTCGACGTCAACAGAATATCGACAAAGTTTTGCGCACATTTGCAATGGAAACACAGCTAGGGAGGGCTGTGCTGTTGAATAGGTACATTTTACGTGWCATCACAATGCAGTACCACAAGAGCAGGAAATTCAGCTGGAGAGTAGGAAATGAAGTAGCTGAGGATCTGCCATCTGAAAAAATGCCTATGTATTGTGTAGTTTACAGGTGCTCCAATAATTCTAACCAAATTAAAAATAAACAATTGTACACTGATTAAATTGTATAATAAATTAAAAAAATTACAGCTCTTTTTATTAATGTTCGTCATATTTGAAACGCGTTGCAGCAGGACGCAGCAAAAGAGGGCATGATTCATGGAAAAACACCTCAATTCACTCTCTGGTCTCACCCTCTCCCCGCCGAGCTAACATAAAACCCCCAATACTTTTTTCTGACTGACGCCTGAAATTATTATAGAAGTGTCAAGAAATCTACAGGAAGATGAAAATAAAAAGACAAGAGTTGAATAAAGTTTGGCAGCGATGGAGAGACGGCAAGATCAGGAGTGAGCAATGAGATTTCAGAAATTATATTTGTACAACTATATTTTATAGTTAGGGTGTGCTTTAGTTAGTTTTGGTGTCTTTGAGATGAAACGAGGCGATTTTTGAACGGGGAACAACYGATGAAACTGAAAGTGAAACTGAAACTGTCTGCTGAGCTCTCATCATTAGTTCTCACTCAGTGAAGCTCTTTTCACATTCAAAATACCTTTTAGGAAATGTATTTTCAGATGCCAAGTAAACTGCATCACAGCGCGTCCGCGACCCCACCACTGTGCGCCAAAATGGGCGGGACAGAAGCGGAAGGTGGTTCTTAAAGAGACAGAGGCCAATTTCAAGGCGTTTAGAAGAGGAAGTGATGAGAAGATAAGTTTATTTTCTATTTAAACATAAAAACAGCATTTTAATAACAGCTAAAGGTGACATAGATACTTTATTATGGTATAGTATTTACATATATGCCTGAGAAACGCATAATATTGCCCCTTTAAGATGCTAGCAGTAGCGGCTAATGTCAACAAACATGCAGCACCTAATGGCACAGAACAGTATGGGAGCCTGAAGTCCAGATTAGGTTCATATTATACTACCAGTAACTTAATACTTACTACTAAATAAATTATAATTTTACAACAACCGAATGCTTTAAAAAAACCTGTAAAAACAAGTTAGCAGTTAACATATTTCTGATGACGCGGTAGACACCGGCGTTCTGCTCCTCCTGACCGCAGATATAGGGTTACAATCTAACATTAATCTTCAGTGATCCACAGGGATAGGAAAAATTGTTCAGAATTATTTGTCAGAAAGATTTCTGCTGGTTTTTATTTGTCACTTGGTAAGACAGTGTGTGGTATCGACAGCCTTGATGGTCAGCAAAAGAACATCCATCTTCGTTATACAAGTCATGTCTGACATATTTATGAACTACAATTATCTTTGTCTTCAAATAAGGATCTAAATCCATACAGTGCAAACTCTCTACAACAGTTTCCTCCACATTTGACTTCCTGCCCTTCATCAGAAATCATCTTTGAAACCATGTGACTGAAACCCAGTTATTATGTGAAACTCACAGCCTGTCCTCTCAACACAGTTCATTCCTACATATTGGCTGTAGTGATTTAATATACAGCCATGAATACTGATATATGAACACCATTTTTTTTCCCATTACTGTTTGCTTGTTTCAGCTCGGCCAACCACAGCCACATGATGGCWCTGCTGCAGCAGCTGCTCTACAGCGAGTCTCTGTCTTTGTCCTGGAGGGACATAATCGTCCCTATGGTCCGGCAGGTAGTCCAGACAGTTCGACCTGATGTCCGCAACTGTGACGACGACATGGACATCCGTCAGCTGGTGCACATCAAAAAGGTCAGCCAATGTTGCTGTGTCTCTCTTCAGACCTCTGGGTTCAGATAAGGATGCAGAGGAAGCAGAAGTTGTGTGTTTTTTTTGTTTTTCAGATTCCTGGGGGCAGAAAGTTTGATTCAATGATGGTCAACGGTTTTGTTTGCACAAAGAACATTGCTCACAAGAAGGTAGAGTTATGTCCTGTCATGTCTTTATTCGCAACAATATTTGTTTTACTTTATTGTTTTTCAATTAACAAAAATTAACAAAACATAAGTAAATAAAAATACACATGGCATTTAAGTTCTCTGAATCTCCTAGGTGTCATATTTTATTTTCAGGCCTTTTGTCCATTTGTGTTTTCTGTAGTCTTAGTTTTCAAGTCAGTTTATCAATCAGACGGATATTTTTTACAAGAATTTGAATCAATTTATTCAAGCTTGGTGGGTCTGCCTGGTTCCATGACCTTATTAATGACTTTTTATTTGTTTGTTTGGCCATTTATTTATCTTGATCTTGTGTATAATTGCATGAGAAATTGCCAAGATAAAAATACACCGACATTTTGTGGCAAACCATATAAGATGCACAAAAACAAAACATAATGGAGACAGTGTTGTCACAATTAATTTACCACCATTAAGRGGTTTCTATTTAATTTTATTTCAAAACATTACTGCAGATGATAAAAACAATTTCTTGTAAAAATTCTTCTGGGCCAGTGAGACTCTGTAGCACCTGTTTGATGGCAACATCTGAATAAAGTTGTGTAATGGATGTAAGGGGTCCTCTGTGATCAGGGAGCACCAAGGCCAGTTATTGTACTTAAATGTTTAAAAATTATTCTATGTAATTTAGCCTTCTCTTTCTCATTGATGAAATTAAACCAAGATGAAGTATTAAAAGTTAAAATGGAAGGATCACAGAATATTTTCTAATTCACTCTTTTCATATCAAAAGGGTTTTATTTCTGAACATGTCCAAAACACTGTTGGTGACTTTTAATAACACTCTTACTACTCTTAATGCTCTTTTTATAACAGGTTTGATGGTTTTTAGTCAACTTTCACCAGATGTTTCAATGTTCAGTTCGTTTTCCCTTTTTTTGTCCTTCATATATTTTGAGTTATTTGTTATCTAACAATGCGTGATGGAATTTAGAAATTATATTCCCTTGTATTCTTTACTATATTATTTTAATGGGAAGAATCTTACTCACTTCTTTCATAAAATAATAGCTTACTTGTAAATATTATTCTTTCCCACTGTATAAACTTATAACCATATTTATTAAATTTATTTTTACTGTCTTATCTTTGTTCAGTACTGTATATTTATTTCAGTCTTTTACTTTTTAGTTCCTTTTAAAGTATTTTTTAAATGTAAAATTGTTGTTGGGTCTAAGATCTCTCTTGAAGTTTTGATATCATTAAAACAAGTTGTTGCAATAGATATGTTTTGTTAAAACTGTAAATTTGACATGGACCCAGATGAACCCGTACATCAAGAACCCCAGAATCCTGTTGCTGAAGTGTTCCATTGAGTACCTGTACAGGGAGGAGACCAAATTCACCTGCATCGAGCCCATTGTGCTGCAGGTGAGGAGGGGACACTGTGGGAATTTAACYGAGGAGGAAACCAGACCTGCTTCTCTGAGGCTGAGATGTTTTCTCTGCCCATTCTTCAGGAGCGTGAGTTTCTGAAAAACTATGTGCAGCGCATCGTAGATGTGCGACCAAACCTGGTGTTGGTAGAGAAGACGGTGTCGCGAATCGCTCAGGACATGCTGCTGGAGCACGGCATCACGCTGGTCATCAACGTTAAACCGGTTTGTGGAACAGTATCAGAGGATGAAACCGTAAAAAGTTTCTTTCTCTTGTTATTTATCATCGTTTTTATTTTTTATCAGTGTAATTTATCAGATTTCTGCAACAACTAATAGTTTGTGTTCAGTTGGTGTCTGTTGAATCGTTATGCATTGAGAAATTCCACTTAGTTTATGAGTTTATTTTTCTCATTATAGCAAGTTTTAGACAGAGTGAGTCATATGACACAGGGTGACCTGGTTATGTCCATGGACCAACTTCTCACTAAACCTCGCCTAGGAACCTGCCACAAGTTCTATTTGCAGCCCTTCACCCTGGCAAACGGTAAGAAGCACCTGTCAGCTCCTTTAGCCTAAGGCTAGTTTACATCTGGAGTCCTCCTAATAATAAAAACAAAAAAAGAAAATAACAGAAAAATAAAAACAATAGAATATAAAACATTTTGCAATCAATAATAAAAATACAAAAACACCCCACTCTTCAAACACAATTAAAAAGTTATATGACTAAACATTCAACAAAAAACCCGCAACTCTCCCAAACCAAAAGCAAACTCTACAATCGATTACCCAGTGTGATTCAGTGATGATCAAGATGATCAAGAGCAGCATTCCACTGAGCGATGGCTTTAAATGAAAAAGCTGCTTGACCAAAGGCTGAGCGCCAAGCAGGAACTGCACAGTTCTGCCTGGATGTTCTGGTTTAGCYCAAAGAAACAGCTGAATGATAATAAACAAATTTTTGCAAACAGATTGATGCTAAACTGTTTAAAATTTTATATACTGTTTCCATATTTGAAAAAAAACTCTGAAATTCTCAGAAGAAAAGTTATATTACTGCACAATCTGACAATGATGGTGTCTTAAGGGCTTGTTGTCCAATATTTTGAGGGCCTGTTTGTAACAAGACTCTACAGGTTTTATCACTGACACATTGGCTTGTCCCCAACATGAAATACAATATGAAATGTGTGAAAAAATGAGTGCGTGCATGAATATCTTCGCCGCTTCCAATGACAAACAAGATCTAACATGTCTAAAATTGACTTAAGTTATATCTAACAGTTTGTGTCATTTTTTAAATGTTTCTTGTAGCTGAGGTTAGAGTCCAAAAAAAACCAACTCCAAGATGCTTAAACTCAGTCACAGTATCAATTTGTTTACCCTTGATGTAAATGTTTAAATTTGAGGTGTCCAGTTTATTCTTATAGAAAAACATACTTTATGTTTTGTTTACATTTAAAGTCAGACATGATTGGTTTAACCAGTGAACCGCTCCCTCCAGAGCTTTGGCTAATTTCTCAGCTGCAAGTTGAGCCGTTTTAGCATGCGTGTACAAAACAGTGTCGTCCGCATATAACTGGACTTCTACATCATGACAAAACTTTGGAAGGTTATCGATGTAAAAAGTAAAAAGCAGGGGTCCAAGCACCAATCCTTGTGGTACACCCGTTGTGCATTTTAGGAAACTGGAATGTACATCTTTGATTTTAACACAGTGCTTTCTATTGCATAGATATGATGCCAACCAAGAAAGGGTTTTAGACGAGAAATTAAAGTTTGATCATTTGGAGAGGAGAACATTGTGATTAAGTGTATCAAAAGCTTTATTTATTTATCTCTTGTCATAACACGTCCTTTCTGTGATTTCTGTCTTTATTGTAAGATGAGGCGAAGACTCTCATGTTCTTTGATGGCTGTCCTCCCCATCTGGGATGTTCCATCAAGCTGCGTGGTCCGTCAGAGTCTGAGCTGGCCCGGGTGAAGGAAATTATAATGCTGATGGTGTGTGTGGCTTACCACTCCCAGCTGGAGATCTCCTTTCTCATGGATGAGTTCGCCATGCCACCCAGTTTACCACAGAGCAGCTCCTTCCACAGCCTGCTGGACATGTCCCCTGCAGACGAGGAGACAGATCAAGACAGCCTGGAGAAGACCGCTGGGAGTGAGGAAAAAACCCACTCTGTAGAGTCTGCATCCAAAAATGGAGATGTGGATGTTCAAGATATGTCAAATCAGCAGTCTCCCCCCATCTTTTTTCAAGAAGATGCTTCTAACACAGAAACCAGGACGTCTTCCCCGTATTCCAGCCTTGGTGCAGCTCCACTGGCTGCCTCTCTTCCATTCCTCATGGAGGACAACCAAGAGTTAGGTTCAGACACTCTTGTTGGGATTTCTGAAGGAGATACGATGGGAGAGAGTTCTCTGGATTTGGAAAACGAGGACTGTTCAGAAACACCCACCCCCAAGTTATTTCGAGACCCCCTGCAGGACGACACAGGGATGTTTGTGGCCGAGCAAGTGGACTCATCCGARGACCGACTGAAGTCCATTTCTGCTGTGTTCAAACATGAGCTGAAGGACGTCATCCTGTGCATTTCTCCTTTCATCACATTCAGGGAGCCATTCCTGCTGACGCCTGAAGGCATTCACTGCCCTAGCAGGGATTACTTCCCTGAACAGGTACCTCTATAGAGCTGCCATTATGATGTCTGTGCTCTAACAGCTCCTGACACAAAGAAATATCTACCAATAGAATATCTATAAAATGCAAAGCATAATTCTGCTCTGCCTGCTTCTTGTCTTTCACTTCAATCACAACCCCATATGTCCTGATGGAGCTCAATAGTCCAGGTAGAAAAAACTAAAAACGTTCAGTAGAGGAAACAGGTTAATCTTTGTTGAAACGTTTCATCTCTTGTCAAAGAGACTTCTTCAGTCTAAGGACTTACAAAAAATCTCAGCCTTATAAGCAGTACCTTTGTATAGTGGATCAACAAACGATGAAATTCAAAGCTGGTTGTTCACGTGGATGTGAACAACCAGTTTTGATTGTCACCGTACTGCTTATGGGGCTGAGTTTACCTGTAACTCCTCAGAAGTAAGAAGTCTCTTGGGCTACGTTCACACTGCAGGTCTTAATGCTCAATTCTGATTTTTTTTTAATCCGATCTTTTTGTGTGAACGTTCACATTACATTTTAAAAGTGACCTGCATCAGACTCCTGTGTGAACGCTCCACAGCACTGATGTGACACGCATGAGCAGTAAAATATGTGACTTCTTCTCATGGAAATATTCCACTTAAAGGCAGAAACTGAATAAAAGAAAGTGCACTGCGTGGTTTTCTGTCATCAGATTTAATAAGGGTTGCATATGCAAGATGAGTGGCAAACGGACAGAGAGAAATCAGTAGCTCTGTCAAGTCACCGCTGGTTAGCAGTGAAACAGGAAACAGTTTTAGGTCGTATTCAGACCTGACAGTTTGCTCCGCTTTAAACGAACCAGAGTTTGTTTCCAGTGTTGGTCCGGACCTTTTCTGCAGGTGTGAATACACTCGTGAACTCTGGTGCGGATCAAACAACCGGACCGAGACCTGCTTTTTGAGGTGGTCTCGGTCCGCTTCCAAACTAACTCTGGTGCGGTTCACTTCAGTTCTCTTCTGGTGTGAATACAGACCGGACTCTAACCGAACCAACTGCATTAAACATGCACCTTTTTGGACCTCACAGGCCACCGTTGCTGAGCTAAATAAACTGAAATCATACTTGTTTCATCGTCTCCTGTTAGCAGCTCTAATGCCAGCATGTTGTGGGTCAGAACACGCAGAGCACCTCGTCTCCTTTGGGTTGTGGGACACATTTACTGACTTCGCTCCAAAATTAGAATATCATCACAGAACCACCGTTAAATTAGCTGCTTCTGACATTTTTAATGCTGTTGCAGTTGTAATATTAGCAAAAATGTGCGCATCAGAACTGCAGCATGCAGGACTTCCTTGTTTTTTTCTGGGTCCGTGGCTCAGTCCCGCCCCGTCCTTTTTTTATCCAATGGGAGCAATGATCGTCACACTCGTGGCTTTGTTTACAAGTTCTAGTTCATTTGCAAAAAAGCACAACGTGAATGCAAACTGCACCAAACGAAAAAAAAAGTCAATTTTTGGTCCGGAACAAACAATTGGACCAAAGGACTTTCCTGGTCTGAATACACCCTTAATATCCGGTGGAGTCCGTGAGTCAGCCAATCACAGGACTACAAATGTCAATATGGTCTAATGACAGAACAACAGCCGTGTAGAGATTATCAAAATAAGAGTGAGGTTACAGACKTGAATTGACGTCTTGAGAATCARGAGAACAGATTATACAAATGTAGCAGTTATCAGAGAGGTTCAGTATGAACAGGAATGAGCAGGCATGTAGTTGTATAATTATTCCAGCACGCTTCTTGTTCAGTCAGCTTGTTTGTTTACAGAGCTAGCATGGATGCTACTTTTAGCGCGTCGAATCTGAAGTTGTTGTTTAATCAGAGCCGATTAAATAATTATCTGACCTGCTTGTTTAGTTCAGTGTTTATATCTGAACCTGCCTCCGACCGGGATGCTCCAGTGAAGCTTTTTACTTTTGAATGAAACGAGCTGGAAATAAAGTATTGACTTAGTAACTTTAGGATCGATACGCTCCAACCCAGGCTGCACGTTACTATCTACATGGAAAATTAAAAGTAAAGAAACAAAGCAACTGGACTTGTGTTTTGGAGCTGTAAACACATGGAGCTACAGATTTAAACAGCGAGACTTGAGGTTAGTGTCTTATCGATCCTTCACCCCCTCCTCACTGATGAAACAGTCAGATGAATGTGACATGAGCGTTCACACTGCAGTCACTTTGTAAACATCAGATATGGATCTGATTTAGAACCACATACTGGCCTGGGTCGGATTTGAAAAAAATGGATTTGGGTCACATTTGCCTGCAGTGTGAACGTAGACTTAGAGAGGAGATGAACTGTTTCATTGAGGGTCTACTCAACCGTTTTAGACACAACCCTTTAAAACTACCAATTCAGCCTCACATCCCACTGAAAAACATATGAACATTTCTGAACGTTTGGCAGCCTTGCTGTATTTTACAGAATCTTYTGTGTCAGTTATTGATGTTTGGGAGGATGATCTGAGGTCATCATCTTTCTCAGCAATAAGAACAACTTAAASCTAAACATCAAAATGTGAAGTAATTGTCTTGGCAGTACAGTGAGAAGACATTCTGACCAGAACACAGTGACAGCGATCAGATGTAACCAGCYTTTAACTCTCACCAGCTCTTCCTTGCCAAGTTGCTACAACTAAACTACAATCAGAAGAAAATGTTAACAATGCTTTTATTTGGAAAAGTTTAATTAAGACAAAACTTTCTTAATTAACTTAAAAAATGTGAAAGATTTCTTGTTTTTCTGTATTTGAAAATGTGACAGTGTTTTGTGTTTTCTCTCACCTGCAGGTTTACTTTTTTCCTCTGCTCAGCAAAGACTTCAGAGAGCTGGAGGGGCGCAGGAAACGACAGCTTCTCAAAGACTCCGCTCCGTCTTCTTTGACTGGTGGACAGACCAATGGTGTGCCCCCTCTCGGGCCCATCAACGTCCTGCCCTGCCACAGTCTCACCAGGACCCTCATTGTGGAGCAGCTGGGCAGCAGCCACGACCTGGCCCGAATGCTGGCAGATTATAGAGCCAATGGAGGCCGGATTCGACCGAGAGGGACCAGCGACCCCTTTGGCTCTGGTGGCTGTGGGCAGAACCGTGGAGCGGACACTTCACTTAAACCACGGATGAAGGCTGACAGTGAAGAGGAAAAGACAAGCAAACAGAAAGACCTGGGCTGGACCCCAAAGGTGAGCAGAGTGACACTACAGAAGAAAAACTTATTCATTTTAGAACATGAAAAATTATGTTTTGAACTCTGTGACATGTTTTTTGTCTTTTGTAAGTTTTACAAATGTCTGTTTTTTGGATTCTCTGTAGCACGCTTTTATTCTCCAAATATGTTAAACTGCTTTAGACGTCTTACTGCAGAAATTTAACATAAGTCAAGTTGCTAAAACGTTTGAAAGAATTCTCCAGTTGAGATGGAGCTGCAGGGATATATCTTCTCTGTCCTGGGAATGTCTTGGAACCTGTGAGGAAAAGCTAGAGAGTGTCCATGGAAAGAGGCATGTCTGGGTTTCTGTCATGGTCCTGTTGCCTCTGTGAGTGGACTAAGGATAAATTGTAGAAGATGGGATGGAGATAAAGCTCCAGTTGGTTTGGATGATGTTCTGCTGTTTTTCCAAGTTGAGCTCATATTTCTACATTCTGTTAAAGCAATCAGCTGATGTCTTTCTTCCTAAGTGGCTGAAGGGAGATTCACTTGGTGATAGRTGTGGCTGTTTTGTTGATTCACATCTTCCGAAGTTTCTTTGTATTCCCTTCACTGTCTAGCCACGGATCTGGACCTTTGGTAGCCTTTTCTTTTCTTCGGACCAAAACTTACCTTGCTCAGCAACTTCGTTTGGAGACAGCTTTGACTAAATCGAGTATCTGACTGGGCTGAGACTGTTAGACAGTAGTTAGTGATCAACATTTAAGAAGGAGGCTCTAAAACGTCTTATAATGTTGGTAGAGTTCTCACTTTCCTCATGAGACATAAAGTCTTTTTATCTTGTTGRTTAGATTTTTTTGATTCAGTCAAGTCGTCATGAGCATCGAGCACTAGAACTACTTTTTGACACCTGGACAGGAGGTCTCTCCTAACAGAACACATCCAGCTCCAAAAACCACAATGAGTACGAATTATAATCTTTGAAAACTGGTCCTGTCTTCAACTCTAAAATGCACTCCAGCTGGTATAAAGTTGGCGGAAATGGGCAACAAAATAAAACACGGCTGCATGTGTAACTCGCTGCGTTTCCACTGCAAATGTGCGCAAAACTTTGTTGAAATTCTGTTAATGTAGAAAAAACACAGTTTCGCAACTGCGGTGTTTCCATTAAGTAAGAAATGTTATTAAAGTCACGTGAATACGTTTGTTCTCGCGATAAGTCATTACAAACATGGCAGCGATGGATGTAAACACATAGCATGTTGCTACCACGACACTAGCGCTCATCATCAGAGGAGACGTCGGCGTCTTTTATCGAGGCTTTCCAGAGACAAGTCCCTACTTGGGAGCGGCTACGTATGCTGTGTTTTTGGGAAATTGTAGTCGCTGAGTTTACTACTTTATTTTATTACTTCGGTGATTTCACTACTACTTTTACTTCCTGTTATCTTCTTCTTCTTCGTCTTTTTCACCAGTAGAAACAGCTGGTTGTTGATCACGTGACTCCCGTGATGCGAAAAAGTGTTTCCATTGCAGTTTTGCGAAACGCACCAATTTCGATACGGACGAAAAACCACCTCATCCTAGCGCAAAAACATTTTGTCGAAAAACGTGGGGTTTGTTTTTTTCGAAATAGACGTGTTTCCATTGAGCAAATTTATTTTCGAAATTCCAATTTGCTCATTTTCATGGTCAATGGAAACGCAGCTACTGATCAAGACTGTAACAGACAATGTGACCTGCTTCTTTACATTTTGGGTCACTAACTTTAGCAGTTGCAGCCCAGTGAGATGCTGGCTTCAAAGAAAGTGCTCACAGTCGAGCCTCTGCTCCTCTGCATTAAAAGCTATCAGCTAACATGGTTCATCTGATTTGGATGCCTCCTGTTTGTATCCCTCTGGTGGTTCTCTGGGCACATCTTACTGGGAGGAGATACCAAGGCAGAACCAGAATAGAGTGAATATGTCTCCTCTGTGGGCTGGGAACACCTTGAGAGGAACTGGAGATGGATGTCTGTTTATTTTGAATTAAGAAAACTGTCCAGATCATGTTGGTAGAAGTTGTTACAAACTCCACTTGCAGGGAAATGATTGAATTCATCCATAATTTATTTTTGAAAGAAGATTAAGCCTTAAGATGTGTTTTAATTGTCTGCTTTTTTACGTTCTTCCCAGCTGGACAGTTTGAACCCTAACAACCACCAGAGGCTGTGTGTGCTCTTCAGCAGCTCGTCACTGCAGTCCAACAATGCACCCAACCCTTGTGTCAGCCCGTGGTAATTTACTCACCACTTCATCAAATTCAATCTAAAACTAAAACACTTTTACTCAGTGATTGTGTTGTGAAACAGGATCGTCACAATGGAGTTTTATGGTAAAAACGACCTGTCTCTGGGCGTGTTTCTGGAGCGCTATTGTTTCAGGTGAATCAGCTRAACCTCCACCACTTTTCAATGTTTTGGTTTGCTTCATAGTGCCTTTCTTCTCCAGGCCCTCGTACCAGTGCCCCAGCATGTTCTGTGACACTCCTATGGTGCACCACGTCCGTCGCTTCGTACACGACAGTGGCTGTGTGCAGATAGTYTTAAAGGAGCTGGACTCCCCCGTGCCTGGTTATCAGCACACCATTCTCAACTACTCGTGGTGTCGTGTCTGCAAACAGGTGAGCCTGGTGGGCAGAGTGTCAATTCAGTTTATTTATATAGCGCCAAGTCACAACATACGTAGTCTCAGGATACTATACACAAAAAAAACAGTCTAAGGAAGCCAACAGATTGTGTTGAATCACTTTGTCACAGTCTCCCCACCTGAGCAAGCACATAAAAACTTCRTTTTAACAGGAAGAAATCTCAGCAAAACCAMGCTCAGGAAAGGTGTCCATCTGCCTCGACCGGCTYGGTTTGAGGGGACAAGAAAGAGACARAGCCAAACACAGAAAAAACTGGTCCAGGTGTATTTACCTCTYGAAGAGAGACAAAGAAAAKYTTATTGATAAAAATAATAGCAACAAACATAGAGGAGAGTGACCAAAAACTGCAGTAGAATGAGGAAATGTGGTCAGTTTGTCCTCAAACTGTCTAAACCTGTAGCAGCATAACTAAGGAAACCAACCCTAACTATAGAACTAGAATATATGTTGCTTGTCTAGCAAATGGCTATGTACCAGTTGGGTGGAGGACAGCAAATGTTGTCTTTCTGCCCAAACCTGGTCGGTTGGATTACATGAGCTATAATCTTGTAAATATTCCCAGTCAGTTTTAAATTTGACTTGCTAAACCTGCAGATACCCTGTCAATAGGTSGAATCTCTCTGTATGGCAGGCTGCTATTATATTTATTTGGCTTCAACACACTTATGTACATTCCAGATATCTGAAAATGTGTTATGACTAGACTGGGTTGTTTTTCAGTTTTATTTATTTATTGTCTTTTAATTTAGAGATATTTCCAGCTTGTTTGTTTGTCGAAGTTGTTTTTTTGAAAATAAGGGCAGATATGATAAGACTTTTTTCTTCATTCTGCACCCTTTTAGCCTGGCCCTTGCCTTCCTACATAGTTCCGCTCAATTCTAGTTTCCCTTCACTGCTCCGTCTGGGATTTCTCCCTTTGACAAGGATTTCTTCAGGAGCATTTCATTATTGCCAATCAGAGAACAGAACGTAGATTTTCTGCACAGTGTCTGCTTGTAGTTTATTTTACTTGGGCCAGTCAACAAACAGACGGCGGAGTTTTGAACAACATCAATTTTCTACACAGTGTCTGCTAGTTAGTTAGCAATCCAATCCGTGTTGATAAGGCATGATTTTTCGTGATTTCCAGTTAGCGTCTTAGCTTAGCCTCCTTTACAGTGGAGCTGGCACACATACGTCGCGGCCAACCGATCCAATCATTTTAAACTTCAACAGAGGCCATGCCTCCAGCAAGAATCACTTCTGTATAGCAGCAAGTCCAGACCCTCGTACGAAGCAAAGTGAAGGACAAGGGTCTAGTTTRTATCAGGCTAGCACCCTTTTCATTCAGGGTATGATTTACTTTTTTWAATGCTGTACATAGTTTGTTTTTATGAGGCGAGGCCGCTGTGCACAGGGGCCATCGGCCCCTTTGACCACTCCCAGCAGGCCAGACGGGTGAATTGTCATGCCCAAGGACACAACGACTGAGGCAGATGGAACGGGGTTCAAAGCGGCAGCCTACCGGTTACCGGACGACTCCCCTAACCACTATGCCACAGCTGCCCAATAATAAGAAGAATTAATAATAAAAAAATTAAAAATCCTGCGGTCATCTTAAGTC